AGCGAGCCAGGAGCCGCTCCGTGTCCGGGCGCGCAGAAAGTGAGCGGTGCCGCTCTCTGGGAGCAGCTCCCGACTGGAACCAGCTCCGCTCCTGGGTGCAGCAGGAGCTCCGCTCCGGGAGACTTAAAGCTGCTTCCCTCTGGATTTTTTAACCCCCGCCATTGTCCTACGAAATGGTGTTTGACATTTTAATCCATCATTCCTTACTTCGGTGAAGCAGATCTAAATCAGACAGCCGATCAGATTCATTTAGCTGCATTTTCAAAAGCCTTTATTAGAGCCCTTCTCGACGGGAAAATATTTCAGAAAATTGTCGTCTTGAGAAGCAGGGTATTGCTGTATTTTAAAAAACGGAGTCAGATTTCCAGCTTGTCAGGGGCAGTGGCCAGTGAAAGACCCCGCTCTCAACCTGTGAAATTTTCACCTTCTCACAGTCAGTCAGAAATCGTTGCGGTAGGGTTAGGGTTTCACTCCGGCTGTCTAAGCTGTCATTAATTATCTTGAAAAGTGCGGAACAGCAGTGGAGCAGTGTTTACATTTATGGTTATTGTGGTTAACTGTGACCGAGTAAGAATCTTGGAAGGTCTCAGAAAGCCGGTGTGACATGGCAGCAGAATTAAGGGAAAGAAAGGATCTTTTATTCTGACCTCCATCCTCTCCTGTGACACTAATTTCATTCCTCCATGCCACCTCCTCTTAAGGCTTCCCATCATATCTTTCAGTTCCCATCTGAAGAGCTGGCCTTGATGTTTTGGGGCAGATCCCCAAAGAGTAGTTTGCCACTGTCTCAAGGTGTAGCTGATACTTTGTTAGCGTTTTCACAGGAAGGTGAGCAGCTGCCTTCTGAAAAACAGAGAAACCAGGAGTGGGGAGAATTCCTGGCCCAGCTCACGGGTGGGCTCGGTTTAGCCGGGTGGGTATGCATGCTTGTGCTCAGAGGCATGGCCAAGTCCTTGCTCTTGCTGCACAGTTTGAAACCAGCTGCTTGTGCCTTTCAGCTTCGGCAGTCCTTTTCTATCCATTTGTTTTCAAGCCTGCCTTTCCAGGAAGAGGAGCAAAAAGATGAGATTCTTCTAAAAACGAAATCTGAAATCCTTATGGATCTTTTATTCTTGTTCCTTCAAACAAGTAATTGTCTCTGTAAGGTCTAAGCTGTCTCTCTTTGCCAACTCTACTAAGGATGTAGCACAAGTTTTCATAACCCCATTGCTTTTCTGCTAGCCACTTCTGCTAGCATGTGTGTAATTTACGCTAAAGGATGAATCCAGTCAGTCATGTACTGTGTCTACATGCTGGTCAGTGCAGATATGCCAAGAGAGGGTTCGATAACATGGTGCCAAAATATCCGGCTGAGGCAATGTACTTTATAGAACACAACTACCAAACCAATAGAGCATTCTTGTAAATACACAAATTTCATTAAATGTTTTCTGTAACTGGCCTTTGCCAATGTTTAGTCATTACTTTTATAAGATTTCTCCTATATTTTTAAGTGTTGACTGTGGTGGAGATTAATTAATCTCACAGGAAGTGATATAAAATCAGCCAATAGACCTAGAAGGACTGGACAAAAGGTATAGTTACAGAATCACGGAGTGGTAGGGGTTGGAAGGGACCTCTGGAGATCATGTTGTCCAAGTAGGAGAGATGCTTCACTCCCCTCATCATCCTCGTAGCCCTCTGCTGGACTCTCTCCAGTAGCTCCTTGTCTTCCTTCAACTGGGGAGCCCAGAACTGGACACAGTACTCCAGATGAGGCCTCACTAGGGCAGAGTAGAGGGGGAGAAGAACCTCCCTTGACCTACTGGCCACACTCCTCTCGATGCACCCCAGGATGCCATTGGCCTTCTTGACAACCAGGGCACACTGCTGGCTCATGGTCAACTTGTCATCCACTGTGACACCCAGGTCCCTCTCCGCAGAGCTGCTCTCCAGCAGGTCAGCCCTGAGCCTGTACTGGTGCATGGGGTTGTTCCTCCCCAGGTGCAGGACCCTGCACTTGCCCTTGGTGAACTTCAGGTTCCTCTCCGCTCAACTCTCCAGTTGCGTAGTTGTATTTTATGTATGTAGTTGTATTTTGTACTGTCAAATCCTTAAGTACTGTGTGTGGTGCCCCAGCTGAGAAGACACAGCGTTGTTTTATGAAAGATTATTACCCACAAAATGCTGTTGTATAGAGTAGTGGGTTGCATTTCAGTCTGTTGCTTGGGCAGTTGCTGGGCTGTACGTGTGCTAAACGCGATGAAATACCCAGCCTTTTGCCTCTGCTGCGTGGGTCACTGGTTTCAGTGGGAGCAGTAGTTGTCCTGCGATGCTGTAAATCTGAACTGAATGAAAGAGAAGTCCTTTGACCATGTCCATCTCAGGTACGTGTTTCTTAGTTGTTTGACAACAGTATTACAAATGCATGCAAATCAAGGTCCTGATTCTTTTAGTGTTGTGTCCTGAAAACTCTTGGCAGAGCCATGGGATCCTTGGACCCAACACAAGTGTAGACATAAGCAATGATCTGTATTTCAATGGTTTCATGCGATGAAGGGAAAAATCTCCTCATTTTTGTTTTTTTGGGGATGACATTAGTGTCTAGGTGAATGGATCCTCCAGAATGAGCAATGGAAGCAGCATGAACCCAGGCTCGAAGACAAGGGAAGGGGTTTCCTACATGGCTGTGGTTAGGTCTGTTTGCCCATGTGATTGCCTTCTTGAGTGCTCTTCAGTCTCCTCCTGCTTGTAGCGTATGGAAACGCTGGATCGCTAGGGTGGGCCCATCACCTTAGCCAACGACAACAGCTTTGAGGTCGTGCTGGGTAGAAAAGACTCATCTGCAAAGGTCCACTGTTTTTTGGCCTGGGAAACTAAACTTACTGGTACAACCATGGGCTCGAATGAAGGTAAGGCGCAATGTGCTGTCATGAGCCTTTGCTGCCTGTCTAGTCTTAGGGCTCTTCTCTGTCAGCAGCACTACAGTACTGTGATGGTGTGGGAGTAAAATATGGTCCAGCTGTGATAGGCCAGTGGAGTGGCAGTGTTATACAGTGGCAAAATATGCCCTTATATATATACAAGTTGTGCGTAGTCATTTATCAGACTTTATTGGAAGGGTATAATATGTATATTGCTTTAATAGCAGTGGGTTGAAATAGGAGATTATCAAGAAACCTTGTGGAACAGTTTATTGAGTTTGGAGACACCATGGATTTAGGAACATTGAGGAAAACCCCAGTTTGTTGTTTCAGTGCCATAAGGGGGCTAGTTGACGTACGGACAAGTACAATGTTAGACTCCTTGCTGATGCATGGTGCAAAAATTAAAAGAAACATTTGAAACAGCTTTCACTATGCCTTCAGGGTTATTTTTTTTGTTTTGTCAGGCCTGTCTTTCTTCGTTATCTGTGCCAGAAGGGAAAAATAAGTCTTACTTATATACTGTATCTTCCGAGAAGTCAGTGAAGCGAGAAGGAGGTTAGGAACATTGTATTGCTGACGTGGCTTTTTAGCATTTTAATTGGTGCCCTGCAAATACCATCAAAAACAGTTCTTAGGATAAGAACACTGGACATCTGTCTGAAAATTTTGATGCTGGATCCTCAGTCTAGCTGAAATGTGAACAGAAGCATCTGAATTTATGAAAGCAGAAAGAAGTTTAAACGATTTCTGTTAAGGTGCATCCTCAGAAGAGAAGAATTTTAGAAATATACCTGAACATATTTGAGTACCTCAATTTGAAGACTCGATATTTCTATGTCAGTAACTTATCAATAATTGCTTCAAAAGCAAGTTGCTAAAAGATGATCAATTGCAACAAAATCTATGTGATATTTCAATAGAGTCATAGAACGGTTTTGGTTGGAAGGGATCTTGAAAGATGATCTAGTCCAACCCCCCTGCCATAGACAGGGACATCTTTCACTAGATCACGTTGCTTAAGATGTCCCTGCCCATGCCAGGGAAGTTGGACTAGGTGATCTTTAAAGATGGTCTTCGTATTGTTAATCTTTGTTTTCATATTATTTATTTTAGGTAGGGTTTCATTTTAAAGTATCTGTACAGAACTAGTGAAGAGCGTACAATGTCCAGGGAGTGGCTTCAAATTACATTCTTCTTTGGTCATTATTACATTATTATTAATTGCTGTTGAAACTCGCTTATTTTCCAGTGTTTGATCTTCTTCCATATTCCAACAAGAGAGTGGTAACGAACTTCTTGCAACAAGCACTTGGTGATCCTATGCTGAATGAAGCGTACTTGCTCTCAACATTCAAACTGCAGCCAAAGAGCACAGCCACCATATTTGGCCTGTATTCGTCAGCTGACAACAGCAAGTATTTTGAGTTTACGGTAATGGGACGGATGAATAAAGGTGAGTTGTTGGGGGTATGTAGGGGAAAACTGGTGTTGGATCCATAATTATTGGTGTGTCACAGATGGATGTTGAAAACTGTGTGATTAACCTTTGTGCTTAGTCGTTCCTGTTGCATGCTGTCACCACTTAGGCCCCCCCCTCACAAGGTGAAAGTGTTGGGTACATCCCCCCTCACTCCCCTTCTCTTTCCTTGCTTTTGATGGAGGCTGCTCTTTCCTGTCCAGGGGAAGCTGACCAGGCAATCAGCTGATACCTCCTCTCTGCCGTAGCGCTTGCTCTGAGCAATGCTGAGAAAGGATAGAAAAAATGGAGTATGGAAAAAGGACTCCATTTTTTTAACTTTTTTTTTTCTTTTTTTTATTTTTCCCCTTGGGACAATCACTGGTTCTTATTACTTAGGAATGTGAGGGACACACGCACATGCCGCCTCATGCATATGAAAGGCAGGTTCTTGTTCTGCTGACCCTGAAGGTTAGATGTGACTATGCAAGACAAACATTCCTAGCATTTACAGGATCTTTTGGGTGAATTAGGGTGTTTGTTCTCTGTTTATTGAAATTAGTTAATCGGGAGTCAGAGTTTGAGCTTCAGCAGACTTTTAGAAATGGAGAGCTTTCATCGCTCTCTAGACCTGATCTAGGATATATTGCAATTTTAAGGTTTAGGGAAAAATTGTCGAATGGTGTAAATTATTGTTGCTCGGTTGACTTCATCATTGCTATGATAATTTGCTGCTGCAGATGTTGTAATCAGACTGCAGAGTCCCATGTACTCAGAAGCTCTACTGAGAAATTTCAGTTTATACATAGGGCAATTATTCTGTATGGTGAAGAAAAGCACACCTTTTGCTTCAGAAATATGGGGGATGAGTTAGGTAAAACTTTGGTTGTTTCATCAGGTCTGCCAAAATCCTGCTGAGGTCAGGGTATAAGAACTTTTATACGATGTGTGTGTTGGGGGTGGGTAAGATGTGGTCACACAGCCTTCGTGGTAGGTGTCATACAATTCCTAACACTGATTTACCTAATTGCTAGAGAAATGAAAGATAACACATACTTCCTCTCTCCCTTTCATACGTGTGCAATTATGTGTGCAAATGTTATACATATATGTAGGAGTGCATATGTATATACACAAATATGTCTGTATACATGCAATTTTGAGCATACCGAACTCAACTCTTGATTTTCAAGAATATGTGCGTGCCTGATGGTTACTGATGTGCTTCAGCTAACAGACTGAAGAGGCTTTCTGGTGGAAGGTTATGTGCCTTCTTTTGGTTTTGTCCTCAGTATGTTAGTGTTGTATTTGAGAAGCGTCTGTGACGGGATGGCAACGTATAGATAGGCGACATGAAGAAACTTGTCCTGTCAGTGATGAGTGTTGAGTAGGTGGGGGACATCTGTATCCTACCTGTTGTGGAGGACTGATCAAACAGAAGGATGCTTTTCGCAGCAAGGCTGTTCCATGGAGGCCTCTTTGGCTCCTTATTACTCTAGTGCACCTTGTTTAAGGCGTGTGGCTGCGTGCGAGTAGTAGGCAGTGTTTTCATGTGTGATTTCCCTGAAAGTGTGAAGTGTCCCTGGTGGCTACCTCATACAGTAAGTTAAACCACATCCAGGAGATCGTCAAGTGAGCTGAAGGCAGGGAGTGTGGGGGCCTTCTGTGATCCTCTCAAGACTGGAAGTCATCACTTAAGTGGTGAGCCAACATTGCCATCTTAGCAAAATGCAGGGTCTAAATGTCTATGGTTTTGGATGGGTGCATATGTGCATAGTGTTTCATTTGCATGGCATTTACACTTGCCCACCCAAATTCATCTAAGTGGCCCAAAGCAGGCCTTAGTTATCCTTTAAAGTGCCACATTTGAGAGCTGTATTCCAGATGGTTTGCTCATGTTCTGGTTGTGTTTTGGTATACCTGACAGTAAAATGTTCATAATGCCTAATTTTTTTTAAAGCATAGATCTGAATTACTGGGCAGCTGCTCACGTTGTTTTGGTTAGGCCCATGTACTTTTCAGAGGCAAATAGCATCCATGGATTTCTTACCCTTTTTGAACGAGTCCTTTATGGAACAAACAGCAGTAAGTGCATAAAAGGGGTTTAAGTTAGCAGTTCTGTGAAGCAGTTCCTATTTACTGGCGGGATTAGTAGTTTCATTGAAAATCTGTTTCTTAAACAGTACAGGTGAGCCACTTAGTCTCACGAATGTCAGAGTGGAATATCCTAGCAGCAAACACATAATGCAGGTGCGTGGATGAGTTAAATCTTACAGAAGCAGAGGCCGTGGTCCAGCAAAATCTCCCTTCAAAAGCCTAGTCTAGTTTACCAGATGGGTATTTGGCTTTGACTGAGGGAGGAATACTTGATCCTTCTTCCAAATCAGACTGCTCCTTGTCCTGAAACTATTCTGGCAGGGTCTGTTCTGGGCCCTGCCACCGTCTCCTCTTTCTTTCTCTAGCTTACTGCTGCGTTTGGTCACTCTGAATGCAGGGCGCAGATCCAAAGATATTGCCTTCATATGACCAGCCATGCATAATACTCACATAAGTAGAATGCCTGCAACGTAGTCTATATTGCCAGATCTTTGAGTTTGCCAAGAAGTGCTACCTTTTAGCAAGTTACTGGTGACCTCATGCACCTTTGCGGAAATCTCAGCTCTGGAAATGTTTTGACATAGACAAGAGTGAAAACATTCCTCATATTGATCACAGCTGCTGAGACTTTAGGACTAGTGTAGACCTTAAAGCTGGAGACATAGCCTGCCCCATTCATGCTAGCATAAATCTGGATTTTTTTAATCGTTAGACTGAGCAATTAGAAATATAGTAGGGAACACACACCCGGTAACTCAGAAGGTCACCAGCAAACACAGATACCACAGCATCAGAGAGGACACATTAGTGGTGGAGAGATGGGAAGGTAATTTGTTAAATGAATAGAAATGGGATGACTTCAGTAGGTGTTATTACCTCTGAAGCCAGTAAGAGTTTTTCCCTCCACTGTATCCACAATGTTTAGCTGACTTCCTGTTAATGTAGGTGTTTCTTGAAGGTCAAATTTGTGAGCTCACTTGATGCAATGGTAGCAGCCCTCTGCCAACCTCAGACAGATGTTCTCAAGAGCCAGCACTTAACTGTTTAGGTGCCCGGTATCTGTGCAGCTTGAGTCCTCAGTGCATGGAACTGTTACCATGAGGAAATAAGGGACATGCAGGCTGGTCGTCAGTGGGATCTTTGAAACAAGGCCTGTCTGATATTATAGGGTACACTGTCTAGATGCACTCCAGCTCATTGCTTCCGCAGATATGTGTTTGGAGAGCCAGGGAAAGATTTTTGTGGAGAGAGCTAGCTAGCTGGTCTAAGAGATTTAGCTTGCAGATCCTAGCTTACCAATCCAGTTTCCTTAGGAAAAGAGACATTTTTTCAGTATTACGCAGCGTGCAAGAGTTGTTGTTTGTCTGCTGTTGTGTTTTTTGATGGTGCATTTCACTTTATAAAATGAAAATTTGTTGTGTGAATTATCAAGTAAGTCATTCACTAGTGCCTTAAAAGAGAGTTAGAAGGGGGCTTAGTTATCTTTAGAGGTGGAATATGTCTTTTCTATATTATATTTGGTTTTTTGCTTACTATTTGTTACAGAGAAGTGCAGGTTCTTGGCTTGAAATTATGCTTCCTTTGGTTTCTTTTGTCAGCTGGCTTCACTGAATGCAGTATGCATCACTGAAACTGATTTATCTAGTTGTACATTTCTGCTACACAGTATTTCTAGGTCTATCAGATATGTACTTGCCAAAGTGCTGGCTGCTGGCTGTCCACTACACCCTTTACCTTTACCCCTTGTATTTTAGCATGTTGTGGCCTGTAAGGTGACATTGGTTAAGCCAATTAGAGAGGCCTGGACAAAGCTGTGGAAAAAACTGTGCAGGGAGCAGTGCTTTACAAATGTGGAGTCATACAAGAGTCCTGGTAATCCTGCTCCGAGAGTCAATGTCCCATTTATTATTACCATTTATATATGCGTACGCGATGCATTCACAAAAGCTGACATGTGGAAAGATACCAGCACAATTGCAGATTTCCACAGGATCTTTCTTTATCAGCCTTGGGTTATCTGCTGCCCTCTGATAGTCCCTCTATGTATTTTTTTCTAGTGGTGCTGCGCTACCTGAAGAGGGATGGGAGGTTGAATTCAGTGATCTTTAGCAACATCCAGCTGGCTGATGGGAAACCCCATGCTGTCATCTTGTCGCTGAGTGGCCTGCAGCAGGGATCGAGCACCATAGAGTTGTATCTGGACTGCCTGCAAGTAGGTGCTGTTCAGGACCTGCCAAAAGCATTTTCAGCGCTGTCTCAGAGGTCGGCGGCAGTAGAGTTGCACACTTTCCAGGAGAAGCCACAGGTGAGCGTGAAAACTGGGAGCAGGCTGAGCACTTAGAGGGATCCTCAGGGATCCTCTGCATCACTGAATCCAGACCTCAGCCCCCGCAGCAGGCAAGCTCTGTACAATGATGCTTCAGTAATACTTGAGTATTAGCTTGTGAAATAAATGTAAATACAGGTTCCTTATGGAACAGGTGAAATCTGAGCTTCATTGAACCCAGTAATAGTTATGCTATTCGTTTTAAACACAATTTTTTGCTTATTAAAAAAAACAAACTACTGCCTCTCTCATTTCAGTGTAGGTGTTTCTTGGGGACTGGAAGTTTTGCAAGGATGTAGCTGATGTAGTAAGGGTAGCTCTTTGTCAGCTTCTACAGCTGTTCAGTATGAGTGAGCAACCCTGGGCAGTGTATGTGACTTTCCTCTTAATGATAAGCCACATGGACTAAGAAGACAAAAGAAGGGGCGGACTCATGTGGTGCGAGAGTCCAGCCCCCATCTGTTTGACGACAATAGCTTTTCTTCCTTTGTCTGCCAACCAGGCGATGGCATAGCTTCCTGTCATCTCTGTACCAGCAGTCCGAGGTAGACAGTAACTTCCACATGCACCTCCCATCATCATTAATGCAAAATATGCGTTAGAAGGTGCAAAGGCATTCTGCCCCCATGGTTGTGCCCTTGCTTTGTTTCATTGCGGGCTTGAAAATGAGCCTGTTTGTATGGAGAATCACTAAGATGCCCACATTCCTGACATGAATGTAAATTGTTTGGGGCGAGGGGGGAAAAAAGACTGCTTTGGATTCAGTTCAACAACAACAAAAATTATATGCCACGGATATAAAAATATGTGAACTTTGTGTTATGTGAGATCACAGGAATTGGAATAGTAAAAAAACGTTCAAAATAAAACCACAGCTATGTGAAAATCTGCAGGGCAAAGATTACGGATTTTATTACAGTTTAGATGGTGATGGGTGGTCCTGAAGCGACCTATGGGAGCCCTGCATGCTTAGGAAACGGACAACCTCTCTAAATAATAATTTTACTTTCTCTGATACTTCACATTTTTTTCCATTGTTGTACCAGAATTGTGAACTCTGTGGGGTTTTTTTTTTTTGTGAGTCCAGGATACACTAGATGAGCTGAAGCTGGTAACTGGAGGAACACTTGCTGAAGTGGGGAACCTGCAGGATTGTTTTCTTCAACAAATTGAACCTGTTCCTCAGTACAATGGTAAGACCTGCAACCAGGAGTTAAAATTTTTCTTAGGATACCACTCCAAAGAAGCTAATGTGATGAATATTAAAAAAGTGGAGAAGCTCTATAGACAAGTAGTAACAATTGTTTGACTAATTACAGCTATGAAAATTTTCTGTAAATGTTTTAGAAATCGCTCAGTTTGAAGAGAACACAGTCACTGTTGCTTGTGATAAAGCAACGAATTGTTGTCCAAGTGAATGAGGAGTCTGTAATGATTAAAAGAGGCCCTTTGTCCTAATTTGGAAGAAAAACTTTTATGTTCATGATCTGTTTGTGTCAGATTAGTAATATTTTAAATATTCAGATTGCAGACAATTGCAGACAGGAAGTAGTCCTAAATGTGATGCACTGCTACAGGCTTTGTGAAAATAGGTGGATGGATAGAGTAGCAAGGCCTATCAATGTAGTTGTCTGTATGCCCAGTATTCATCTTTTGTTGGTCACTGGAGTGTTCTGGAGAGGGGAGGAACAAGAGGTGAAGAAGGACACAGGAGACTGCAGAGCATGTTGGTGCTACAGCTACAGAGCCGCGTGGGAAAAACCATTGCAGAGCCGGCACTAGTCCTACCACAAGTTAGCTGAGGCTTTTGTCACCTGCTGGACTGGAAATCTCCAAAACCGATTCCTTTTCTGTCTGTGCTGAACACTGTGGAGACTGAACTGGGAACAGGGAGGAAGCAAAGGAGCTGAGGCTCTGGGATCCCTGCGGGTCCCTGGGGGCTGGGTGCAATCCCCTGTGATGGGCAAGGGTGCTTTCTAATCTCTTCACACGTAAACCTGGGCTGGAGTGCCCCATCTGTACCCCTCCCTAGTCCCTGTTGATCTGCCTCTCTGCTGCAGGTGTGAGGTAGAAGAACGGGTTCACACTGTGCCTGTAATATGTTAATATGCGACAACCATGGGGTAAAAAAGTGAGTTCAGGGTTTGAATAGGATCCACGAGAAGTTCTGTCTCACATGCTTTCGTGTCCCCCCTGCCAAACCCAACCCTGCAGCATCGCTGCTTCTGATTAGAATAGAGACAAGATACACAAATTTTATATGAGAGCATCCTGGCTACGTTACATGAATGTGGGGATCAGTGGTGTGTAGTCATAACAGAATCTGTTTTGCCTTTTAGCTGTGTAAATCCTCAGTTGCACATGCTTCTCTTTTCTTACTCCTTAACATAGATACACCTAGGCAAAAAATAAAGCTTTATCGTCAAAGAGCTCTCTTTTTCCCTAAATCAACAGGCATTTGCACACAGAAAGTACGGCTAATGCAGTGTTTCCTCCTGGAAAAACTCACAACTCTGTGGGCAAGGTTTCCAGATGGCAGACTTGCAGCTTTCTCATTTGTAACTTCTTGCTCTTTAATCAATTATGTAAATGGTAGTAATACGGAGAGATACTGTCTCTCATTTGCTGCCTCCACCTGGCTGAGCCCCTCAAATTCAGGTGCTTGTGACCATCAAGTGGAATTAGTGTTATATTAATAACAAAACAACTCACATGATATATTCAAAGTCTACATAGTCAAATCCACCAAAGGAAAACGTGCAAATGTTCCAACAGCGATATTAACTCAGCTGCCTTGCACTTTGTACATGCTTCATGATGCCCTTTTACAGGAGCAGTGTATTAGATAACCACAATTTTGCCTTCAGCCAGAAGAAGCTGGAATGCAAATGCTTAGCTGTATAGGGGTGTGAGACCTATGATAGAATCATAGAATGGTTTGGGTTGGAAGGGACCTTAAAGATCATCTAGTTCCAACCCCCCTGCCATGAGCAGGGACATATTCCACCAGACCCGGTTGCTCAGAGCTCAATCAAGCTTGGCCTTGAAC